TTGTATATTTCCTGCCCCAGCCCTAGAATCAGCCACTTCTGTAAGGGGCCGGCTCCTGTTATTGGAGAATGGTATTGGAAACCAAAAACACACTCCTACGTAGCAAATTATTATTGGATGGACACACTAGAAAACACTTATTTTGTGCCTCCTATATGCCAGGCACTATGCTAGCTCCTTTTCATGCTGGTTTACTTAATCCTCATAACAACTTTATGAAATATTTACTGTCAATCCTCCCTAGATGAGGACTGGAGGTTGAGCTGGGTTGAATGCTAGCCAACACCCCTCTGTTCTGTCTCCAAAGCCCATCGCGCTGACTTGATAAAGACTGGTGTCACACACATACCTCACAAACACCATTTTTTTTTTTTTTTTTGGGAGGAGTCTCGCTCTGTCACCCAGGCTGGAGTGCAATGGCGCAATCTCGGCTCACTGCAACCTCTGCCTTGCGGGTTCACGCCATTCCCCTGCCTCAGCCTCCCGAGTAGCTGGGACTACAGGCGTGCGTCACCATGCTGGGCTAATTTTTGTCTTTTTAGTAGAGATGGGGTTTCGCCATGTTGCCCAGGTTGGTCTCGAATTCCTGGCCTCAAGTGATCCCAGATGGCACATATCTCTCCTTATGTGCAAAGATGACAGGCACCTATCTGTGTGTGCATAGATGCATACGGCCCTCCTCATGTATGCAGGTGTTATTTAACTATTTGCATGTGCTCACATATCTTTGTGTACAGAGACGACATGTACTTATCCTTAAAATAGATGACGTGTCTCAACTCATGGGATAATGAAATCTGACAAACTGAAAAGTGCTTCAGAATGGACATTCACAGTACTTGCCAACTGCTCAAGCTTAGACCATGTCAGATTTTTTGCTGTCATCCACAGGACTCGCTTATGAGATGTGGGGATGTCCTAAGACAGCCATTTAGCATCACAGCTGTTATGATTTCAAACAGTGCTTCCAGAGATAAAACTGGAGGTTTACATTTTGCCCTCAAGCATGGGGATCATATCACACAAGAAAGAACAGATTAGTCAGCCAGGGTGAGTAAGGCTTCCATCAGAGCAACCACAGTGCGATCTGCCACTTGAAGTGCATATTGATGGGTTTGTCTGCCCACTACTTCTTTTTCCTCTGAGATCAGCCCCTGCCACCCTCTCCAGAGCAGCCATGTTCATCCATCATGACCTGCTTTTAACACTTGATCATTCCTAGATGAGCACGTGACCCAGCTGTGCCAATCCGAGAGTCCTCACCTAGGACTGTTGGAACATGAACTTAAAATGAGAGTTGGCCTTTCTTTAGGGACTGAAGCTGTGAACATTGAGACTGTCATTGGCCATGTGAAGGTTTACGTGCCAGCAGAAAGCATAATGAAACCAATAGGAAGACACATACACACACACACACACACACACACACACAGAAAGAGAGAGAGAGAGAGAGAGAGACAGATAGACATCTGTTCTTGGTTCTAACATGACCTGGGTATTTCACGGAGCGGCCTAGCATCTTTCACCAAGGCCTTGTTTAATGCTTAGGCTAGTCAGGGATGGTTTTCACTTATTTCCAACCAAAGAGCCTTAACCAATGCAGAATGATTGATAATCATATTATCACCAACATACTGCAAGACATTAACTAAAACTCAAATCTCTGACGGACATTTTCCCGGCTCTCAAATATTACAGATACAGTCCATATCTCCTGTCAAAGGTGGTTAATTTGGCTCATTAGTTTTTCAGAAACTTTCCAAATATACATTAATTTATTTCAGTGTGCATAGTAAACTTCTATTGATCTGGCTTTCAAATACAAAAAATTCAAATTACTAAATTGTTCCTCCACTCTACCTTGTGGAAACAAATGAAATAAGGTGTGGTAACTAAGGAACTGCTCTTGAAAAAAATACCTTTTAGGATACAACATAGGGTCAACATCAGGACCTTCAATATTATGTGTGTTTAGTCCCTGAATCAACAAAGCAGTATAAGTACAGCTTGGCCTCATTTTGCAGTGTGTTTTAGTCTACTATGATTCTATGGATGCAATTTGTTTATAATTCATGTATGAGCATTGTGGTAATAACAGCTAACACTTTTTTTTTTTGAGACAGAGTCTCGCTTGGTTTCCCAGGCCGATCTAGGCTCACTGCAATCTCTGCCTCCTGGGCTCATGTGATCCTCCCACCTCAGCCTCCTGAACAGCTGGGACCATAGGCACATGCCACCCATCACACCCGGTATTTTGGGAGACCAAGGTGGGAGAATCATAAGCCCAGGAGTTCGAGACTGGCCGGGAAAACATAGTGAGATGCCACCTCTAAAAACATTTTCAAAACAAACCAGATGTGGTGATGCATGCCTGTATTCCTAACTACTTGGGAGGCTGAGGTGGGAGGACTGCATAAGCCCAGGAGTTCAAGGCTGCAGTGAGCTATGATCATGCCATTGCACTCCAGCTGCAGCCTCCCAAAGTGCTGGGATTACAGGAGTGAGCCACTCTACCTGGCCATGTAGCTAATACTTTTGAGGTCGTACTATGTACCAAGCAGGCACTGTTTTAGGGGCCTAACACACTATTTTCTTTAATCCTAAGGGCGACACTCTTGTCTTCTCCATTTACAAATGACAGGGAGGTTAAGCAATTTGGCCAAGGCTGCATATCTAGTAAGTGGTGAAGCTGTGGACACTAGAGTTCATATCTCTTAGGTAACTAATGTAGTTAATCATAGTGGCTGTCAGGTAGCTATAGTATTCAATGAACAGGACATTCTACTTCCCAAGTCCTTTGGAGGGTTTTTTTTTTTTTAATTTTAATTTTTTTTAATTAAATAGAGATGAGGGAGGTCTCACTATGTTGCCCAAGCTGGTCTTGAACTCCTGGCCTCAAGTGATCCTCTCACCTGGACTTCCCACAGTGCTCTAAAGGCTACTCATTCTTTGGATTTGTAGAATATATACTGATTACCAGTAAGGCGGAGATATGCAGGAACTTTTTCTTTTACTGTGATGGCTTGGATCCCTGTGACTTGTGAAAAAGCTACATAGTAGACCTCCAAGGCTTTACCAGGCTCTCATTTCCTTATGGAGAGAGCAAATCTTTCTGAAGCTTCCATCTTTTAGGTAAAAATCTGAATGCTTCTTGGGTCCACATGGCCCTGCCTATCTTGTTGGTCTCCACTTTACTTTCAGCCACTTTAGCCTTAAATTTCTCATATCTATAATCTCATGCCTATAAATCCTAGCACTTTGAAAGGCCGAGGTGGGTGCATCACTTGCCCCAGGAGTTTGAAACCAGCCTGGGTAACACGGTGAAACCCCAACTCGACAAAAATTACAAAAATTAGCCAAGCATGGTGGCACATGCCTTGTAGTCCCAGTTGCTTAGGAGGCTGAGGTGGGAGGATCACCTGAGCCCAGGAGGTCGAAGCTGCAGTGAGCCATACTCATCCCACTGCACTCCAGCCTAGGTGACAGAAAGAAAAACTGTGTGATTACCAAATGCCTGTCCGCCTGGCTCTGAGTGTAAGTTCCATGTGGGCAGAGACTGTGTGTTTGTCTTGCTCATTGCTGAATCTCCAGCACTTAGCCTACGGCTTAGCGCATAGTTGGCACCAAATGCATACTTGTAAACTGAGTAGAAGAAAAAACTACCAGCTACCAGCTGAAAAGGAAATAAATACCTGAGTGTCCTGGGCACTGACTAGACTTGCTGGGTGTGTAAGAAGGCCTGCCCAGACACAGATACAAAGAATGCTGGAACAGCTTGGCAGAGCGGTTTGCAAACCAGAGGATAACTGAATATACCTATACAAGTTCTTTTTTTCCCCTTACACATTTTTTTTCTTTTCCTTTTTTTTTTTTTTTTTTTTTTTTTTTGAGATGGAGCCTTGCTCTGTCACCCAGGCTGGAGTGCAGTGGCACGATCTCAGCTCACTGCCAACCTCTGCCTCCCAAGTTCAAGCAATTCTTCTGCTTCAGCCTCCCGAGTAGCTGGGATTACAGGCACCCGCCACCACGTCCAGCTAATTTTTGTATTTTTAGTAGAGACAGGGTTTCACCATGTTGTCCAGGGTGGTCTCAAACTCCTGACCTCAGGTGATCCACCCGCCTCGGCCTCCCAAAGTGCTGGCATTACAGGCGTGAGCTACTGCGCCCAGCCCCCTTGTACATTTAAGTGATTAGGAAATATTCAGGGTAAAATTATGATTTTGTGAGCAATAAATCACAATCCTATTTTAATACCACTAAAATCTTGATCAAAGCAAGTTCAGGCAGGACTTGGTTACTCATGCCCATAATCCCAGCAATCTGGGAGGCCGAGACAGAAAGATCACTTGAGCCCAGGAGTTTGAGACCAGAGTGGACAATATGGTGAGACCTCATCTCTACAAAACATTTTTTAAAAATTAGCTGGGTGTGATGGTGCATGCCTATAATCCCATCTACTTGGGAGGCTGAGGTGGGAGCATGGCTTGAGACCAGGAGGTCGAGGCTGCAGTGAGCTGTGATCAAGCTGTGACGGTGCCATTGCACTCTAGCTGGGGCAACATAGCAAGACCCTGTCTCAAAAGAAAAAAAAAAAGAAGTTTCTTTTTCAGCTCAGAATACGAGAGCCAACGTGAAGAAACACACTTGTTTTGACGACGCTTACTCTCCCAAGTGTGGATCTGTGAGCATTATTCCTTGTTTTTTTTTTTTGGAGACAGGGTCTCATCCTGTGGCTCAGGCTGGAGTGCAGTGGCTCAGTCTCAGCTCACTGTAACCTCCGCCTCTCAGGCACAAGCCATTCTCCCATCTCAGTCTCCAGAGTAGCTGGGACCACAGGCACAGCGCCACCACACCCGGCTAATCTTTGGTATTTTTGGTAGAGACAGGGTTTTTCCATGTTGCTCAAGCTGGTCTCTAATTCCTGACCTGAAGTGATCCAACTGCTTCCGCCTCTCAAAGTGCTGGGATTACAGGCCTGAGCCACCGCACCTAGCCCATTGTTCACGTTTGTGACCCCTTTTAATTTTTATTTATTGCTTTATCATCTTACTGATTCCTCGAAACAATCTTACGGGGCGAGCCGGTTCCATGGGCGCTGAAGAAACATTTCCTCTTTCAAAGCCTCAATTTTTTGAACGATACGCATTGCTAAAGAGGAAGCAATCAAACCTATCAGGCGAGCTCTGCCCTCCGCCCAGCGAGCTGCTGCTTCCTGGTGTTAAAACGCTTTCGGGTCCTCCTGGCGAGTTTTAAGTCACACTGGATCGCTGCTCATTTTCAGAGAGCACCTCGCACCCATTCACCTGGAAGGCACCCAAGGGGAATCGATTTAGGAAATTCACTTCATGTCACCCTAACAACAAAGCACAGCCTGCAGCTTTCACCCATGTGACATCAATGCTAATCCTATGTGCGAAACATTTGGGTTCATTCGATTTTTAAAAAATTAGTAACAGAGATGGGGTCTCGCCATGTTGTCCAGGCTGCTCTCCACCGCCTGGGCTCAAGCCGTTCTCCCGCCTCGGCCTCCCTCCGCGCTGAGATTACAGGCGGGAGCCACCGCGTCAGCCTCCTCTCGTTTTTCGGCGACAGGGCCAGCCCGCCTGCGGGGAGTTCCGTTCGGAGAAACTCTGTGAGGGACGCCGCGGGGGCTCCCAGGGGACGCGGCGAAATCAAAACAGTCACCGGTGGTTCACAAAACTACCTCAGGAAATGCTTCCAAAGGCAGGTCTGGCCTTCACAAGGCGACGGCTCTTCAGCCTCCGACACGAACCTGAGTAGTCCACAGCACTGGGCCGCAGCCAGCCCGGGCAAGCCGCCGAGCGACCGCGGACGCCGTAGCGAGCAGCCGCCTGCTCCCGCCACACCCGCCGAGCCAGCCGCGCGGAATCCACGCCCCCGCCGTGTGCCCGCCTCCCTCCTCTATCCGGCCCACGATTGGTCGGGTGGGGTGCCCGTCGCGAGAGAAGGCGGTGCCTCCCGCAGGCCGGCGCTCCCATTGGTCAGGATGGCGGCGACGGCGCGCGCGACCCGGCGACGAGGGGAAGCCGGTGGCCGCGGCTGCGGAACGGGCGGAGGCTGCCGGTTTCGTAACCGTCGCTCCTCCTCGCTGACTCGCGGGCTGTGAGGCCTGGGTCGGCTCGGGCCGCACCGCGCGGGGCCGCTCGGAGTGGAGGCCGCCTGGGGGCAGGCGGGCTGGAGGAGCAGGTAAAGAGGCCGCGGCGGGCGCCCTGAGATCGGGGAGGAGGAGGCCGCGGCGGTGCCGGCCGCTCGCCTGGGCGCGGGCCCGGCTCGGGGAAACCCAGCCCCGGCCCCAGAAGGCTGGCTGGCTCGGGAAGGCCCCGCGAGGCTGGAGGCGCGGGCGGCGGCGCCGCGCGGCGTCTGATGCAACCTGCCGGCAACACCCGGCGGCGGGGACGCTGAGCTCATTCCTGGCCGCGGCCCAGCGCCGCGGCGCCGCCCGTCGACCCCCGCGCTGCCCGGGGCGCCCCTCGCGGCTGGCCGAGAGCGCGCGAACGGCCGGGGAATGCCCCCTGCGGAGCCCGGCCCCCTCTCGGTGAGACGGGCGGTGTGACCGGCCAGGCTTGCATTGGCCCCTGGGGATGAAGGGTGTTCCCAGAATAGCAGAAGGTGGACCGAATCGAGCTTTAGAATCCTGCTCTTCTAGAAGGGCTCAGCTTGCGGTGATCGAAAATCTGTTCAGAAGTTCAAAGACTGATCAATAAAATAGGGAAAGCAACTAGTTTTTAAATGCATGACTTCGCAGAGATAATATTTTGCTTTGTGGAGCTGTTTGAATGTCCTGCACTTTACTGTTGAACGTAGTTTAGAAGAACACGCAACACCCACGGGTCGAATAGAGAAGAAATGAAGCACTTCGCGGGCATGGTTGGAGGGAGCGGAGCAGGGCAAACAGCCAGCAGAGGTGTCCAGATGCGGAGGATGGAAATACATGTGTGTAGGGGAGGAGAGTCTGTTTTCCAGGGCACCTGGTGTGTTGCTTCTCTTCCCTAGGTTTACTGTTTGGTTTTCCCCTTGTTTGAGGTTTATACTGTAATCTGGCATCCTGAAATGTATAAGATTTAGAAAGGTCTCAGTGTTGATGGGTGACACCAAAATTGGTAGTTGTGTCAAAATTGACTGCCTGTATGAATAGGTTGTCACTTAAGGCGGACTTCTCCCATAGATGTGTGACTCGCCGAGAAAATTTTAAAAGAAAATCCTGTAAGGGCTTGCTTTACGAAGACATTCTACATCTAGAAGCTCTTGATGTTTAAGATGTGATCATCTGTTAGCCCTTGAGTAGTATTTGGGATAAGCCGTTCATAAGGTCAGTTCTGCTTCTGGAAAAAGTTGCTGTAAACAAGGCTTAAATAATTACAGGGTACCCAGGAGCTGAAGCATATTTCAGCTTCTTGATTCCTGCTTCTGGTGGGCACACTTGGCTGGTTCAGTTATTTTTAATACCTGCTTTAAAAAAAGTAGGGGGAAACAAAACATTGAGAATATCCTTTAAATTCTCAAGAGCACATCATGTCTGTCCGCAAGGCTGGCTGATCTTGGAGAGATGGTTTCATCTCTGGGAAATTAAACACTATGTGCTGAGCCCCTGGTAAAGACAAATAGGACCTCATGGGGCTGAATTTGGTCTTATGGTCTAAGATTGCCTCACTTGGTCACAGTAATGGTAAGTACAGGTAGCTACGATTCCAGGTGTATTGTGCATTCTTGGGAGGGCTGGTTCCATGGGTGGTTGTATTGATAGGTACACTGGCCTCCTGCGTTTGTGGCTTTCTAGCTCTATCAGTAAAAAAAGAAAAAAATGAGCATGAGCTCCTAATGGTTGTTTATTTACAGTCTATTTGTTTTGTGTGTTGTAAATCACTTCAAAAGGATTGGGTTAGAAAGATGATGTTGATGTTCTTCTCATGCCCCAGTGACCCACTTCTGTACTCCCAGAAAGGGGACGTCCCCTCCCTCATGGACCCTGCAGTAGATGCATGTGAAGATCCGCAGGGAGACACGACGCGGCTGGAGTTGACAGACCTAGGGAACAGATCTTCCCAGATGCCCAAAGAAAAGAGAAAGCACAGACCATTTAGGATACAGATAGTGGTTTAGTACTGTCAAGATGTGGTGTGAGGGAGGAGAGAGGGTCAGGACCTTGGATTTGATCCTGTAGACTGGAGCCAGAGATGAATTTTCAGCAGGAGAGTGACTCACTCAGGTTTGAGTGTTCATTGCTCTGGAGACAGAGGTTGGAGGAAGCAGGCTAGACCAGAGACCAGTGTCCCTGAGAGATGATAGTGACCTGAGGTGAGTTCGATGGGATTGGGATGGAGAGGAAGGGTAGATGGGAAGTTTTTTTGTTTTAGGTGGAATTGTCAAATCCCAAAGACTAAATAGAGTTAGGACCAAGGAGAAACATCTATGACTGTTTTGAAATGTTGACCTTCATTGAGGAAACTGAGTGAAAAATTTATTTTGGTGGGCAAGGGGAGGAATATTGGATTCTAGGTGTGTGGAGAAAAGGGACAAAAGCATTGGGAAAATTCTTAGTAGGTTTATTTCCCCAGGTGAAACTTCAGAAAAATTTGGTTTTGTTTTACTCATTCTAACATTGTGTGCGCTTTCAGTGTGACTGACATGAACGAACATTACTTGAATTAAGTTTGAATTGAAACAAAGCCTATTATCCAGTTAGTCCACCATTCTCAGTATTCATTGGGAATCAACAGCAGAGACCCTCAGACTTCAGTGTCATCAAAGTTACTTGGAAGTCTCCTTATGAAAAGATTGCTCAGCCCTGTTCTTAGAACTCCGATTCTAAGTCTGGGGCAGCCTGAGAAGTTACATTTCTAAAGAGTTCCTGGATGATGATGACGCTGGTCCAGGGACCACACTTTGAGAGCCACTGCTCTTCAGCGTTCCTGCTGTTTCCTACTTGAGTGATTCACATGGAAGGAAGCCAGGCGCCACCCTGCTTCCTGTAGGCTGAACTTTGGAATAGTGTTTGTCCACAGAGGAGCCGGACTTGAATTTAGGACTCAATGTCCAGCTTTGAAATAAACACTTTTTGCCTGTTGTAGCTGTTCAGTAAATGTGTGTGGAAGGAACAAAGCATAAATGAGAGTGGCCTTTTCTGTGTAAAACCTCTTAGCTCTTTGATCCCCTTTTACTTGGTTAATTTTCTCTTCACTTTAAGAGCTATTTATATGGTTTAAGAACTTTTTAAACAAAACAGTCTCGGAGTTATTTTGATTATCTCCAAGTTTCTCTTTCTTACATTTTCACCAGCTTGTAGGTTCAGTGAATACTCTTTTCACGCCAAAGGGCTTACCTTTAAAACCTCGCCTACCACACACGTTCAGCCTAGTACCTTGCAAGATGAGTCAGGCAGAGGTGAAAGAGCCCTTCCCTGTTCCTGTATCTTTGGATATGGAAACAGGCATGAACGTCGCTGAACTTGGACCCTGTAGTGAATAAGAGCTGTTAGTGACTGAAGGTCGTGGTGTGTTGTCTGTAGAAAAGTGTCTTACTATTCCACATCCCTCATTTACATATGGGGAATAGACGCCCACGGAAGAAAAGAGATTTACCCATACTAAAATAGGGGGAGCCATAGCCAAGACAAGAACTGGCCTGGTCACCGGTCTCTACCGTTTTGGATCGTTGCTATCTCTGAGCATGGCCACATTGACTGTAGAGAGCTTTAAGGGCTAAAAATATAATTGGTATATAAAAAAGTAGAGAAATAAGGTGAACATGATTATGATTGTTAAGACAGTCTCAGGAGAGGTGTTAACCAAGTTCTTAATAATTGAGTCAAGCACTTCTACTCACTTGACACCAGATAGATAAGCAATAATAATGTTAGGTGGCACTAAGCATGGCTCAGATTAATACTGAACAGCCACTTTTCTACTGAAAGGAAAATGAGGCAACCTAATAAGGACCAAAGGAAACTGTGAACTGTCTGTTACTGAAGATAGGCTTGGAGTGGATAGCCTTCATCATTTGGAGGGACGCTTTCTGTCTTGCCTTAGTGCTGGAGTGAGAACAGATGACCTACTAGCTCAGGGCCAGCTGTGTGGCTTTGAAAACAATGGAAAGTAATGACACATGGACTTTTTAAAGCAAAGATGTTTTTTAAAAAGAGACCAATAAACTGTGTACAGAATTGCCTGGCTAAAGGTTTGGATGTAGCTACTGGTGTTGGCTAACTGAGCTTTCCCTCATTGTGGGATCACTGTATAAATCTGACTCCAGATTTTTTCCACTGATGTAATTTTAGCAGTTTTGTGAAAAGAGAACAGGATAGGTTTATGTTCCTAACACTGCTTTCTAAATGTCTAAGAGTGCCCTGACACCTTGGTGGACACCGTTCACTGAACTGAGTCAGTTGATGTTGAAGCGGCCTCCTGATGATAGGATAGTCACGCTTTTACACTTCTTGGGGCAACTGTAGGGACTTGATTGGATTCAGAGTAATCCACATGTGACTGGTTTTTGAAACCGTGACTTCATTTCTGCAGGCAGCGGCACAGGGGTGCTTCAGAGCTGGTGCATCCTCCGAGCTCACACGAGCTCATTTGGTAGCGCGAAGTGGTCACAGGCACGGCAGCTGCTCAGCTCCTTTGTCCGGCCCGGGTCCCAGGACCTGCACTTCCTTGGATGCTTTATGAGGGCTTCTGGTTCTTTCCTTGTGGTTTCAGGTTGAGTGTGTTTTGATGTTTTATTAATTATGTCAAGAAACAAAAACACACTTTTTACAAGCCTGGTGGGATGGGGAGCAAATTGAGTGTCAGAGCTCCTAAATTCAAGAAACTAACTCAGTAAATTTTGTTAACTGTGGAATTATCGTTTGAGGTCATTAAAAAATAAAGCAAAAAACTATCTTTTCAAAATATCCCATAAAGAGAGCTCTGGGAGAGAACTCAAGTCCTCGATGACTCCCTCTCTGCATATTAGGACATGGAACCCCCAGAGGTGATAGCATGGTATTCCTCATGAGCACTGGAGACAGGGCACGCCACCCCAGCCTTCTGTTTTGACTTGAACCAACAATGGAAACTTCCCCCCTTTCATTGCAGGTGTCTCTCCTACCAAGGTCAGCTGCAGCTTCTCCCTGGCAGATTGTCAAGTGCTGTTAGTTCACATGCGCCACCTAATTAGTGGCAGTCTTTTATTTTCCTCCCATTTTTGATAACAATCGCAGAAGGGCAGTGCCCTCAGGGATCCAGGTGGGCTGAGTTTCGCCTGATGGTGCTTCTGTACTGACTTACCGTTCTAAGTGAAATGATTTAGACTTCAGAAACATTGCAACAGTTGGCAGTTGCTGTAGACTTTTCTCAGCAGAATCAATTAATGTTGGCCTGATGTTAGGTACATACAAGTTTAATCTCATTTGATCCTGTCGTTTCAAACATTTTAATGCAATTTATTTTTTAACTAGGTACATGTGAAGATTTTTTGGCAGCTTAGCGTGGAAACCATTGATCACCTTGCTCTCGTTTCTACCTGTTCTGTGTTGGCAAGGGAGAGTGCCCAAATGAGCAAGATATCGCAGCAAAACAGCACTCCAGGGGTGAACGGAATTAGTGTTATCCATACCCAGGCACATGCCAGCGGCTTACAGCAGGTTCCTCAGCTGGTGCCTGCTGGCCCTGGGGGAGGAGGCAAAGCCGTGGCTCCCAGCAAGCAGAGCAAAAAGAGCTCGCCCATGGATCGAAACAGCGATGAGTATCGGCAGCGCCGAGAGAGGAACAACATGGCTGTGAAAAAGAGCCGGCTGAAAAGCAAGCAGAAAGCACAAGACACGCTGCAGAGAGTCAATCAGCTCAAGGAAGAGAATGAACGGTTGGAAGCAAAAATCAAATTGCTGACCAAGGAATTAAGTGTACTCAAAGATTTGTTTCTTGAGCACGCGCACAACCTTGCAGACAACGTACAGTCCATTAGCACTGAAAATACGACAGCAGATGGCGACAGTGCAGGACAGTAGACCTCACCCTTTCCAGACTTCACAGCTTGTGGTTTGAACGTTAAAGGTGTGACCACCGACACCACTCATGTCAGTGGCTGAAAGTTGTCCTTTTCCATGATTCAAAGACCCATTGAAGGTTATTTTCTAGGATCAGCACTGAAGAGTTGATTAGCTAAAAATGTTAGCCTTGTAATTCGAATATCTGGTTTTAAATGATAGAGATTTTTGTGGGCGTCAAAATCCCCCAAATGTTAAGGTATATGGTAAAAAAAAAAAGAACCATCTGGGATCCCGATGTTCTTAATAAATCCTGACTTCCCAAGAAGTGCTTCTTTTTTAAGTTGACAAAAGGAATGGGGAACTGGCAGGCCATGCAGAAGGTTCTTGGTATTAATGGGTAGACTGAATTGGATTAAGAAAAGTTGAATGCCAAATCTATTTGTGATTTTCTTCTGAATTATGTATTATAAATTCATAGAGCTATAGAAAGCAATGAGTGAGTAATTTGGAGTGATTTTATGTATGGCATAAACTTTGTTTTAACATAATTAGTACTGTTTTCCCCCAAAAGTACAAGTTTTTGAATAGTGATGTCAGGTTAAGTAAAGAAACCTCATCACATCTTATAGACATTGTGTGGCCAATTGGCTTAAAATATACAAATAACATTTAGGAAGCAAATAGATTAAACACGAAAATAAAACTAAAGCATAGGAATTATGTTTTTGGGATACCTTTGCGCTTAGATTGGCATTATTTTATTCTAAAAACCCAACTCAGTGGTGTAGAGAAACTTGTGTACCAGAATTTTAGTTTGTGCAGGTGCTAGTAAAGTAAGTGTTTTTTTGGATACAATTTTGACAGCCAAGTTAGTAAACAAAATGTCTTAACAGTTTGATGACACAACGTACTAATTAGGGTTTGGAATATTATTCAGAAGGTAGTTTCTCTTGTGTTCAAAATAGCTACCATGGGGCCATTATTTTTAAAATCAAAAATTTATTCTGAAGGCTCATTTTGGTATTTGATCTTAACCAAGTGACTGTTAGAGAAATGTATCAACTCCATGCCATCTCCCAAAATAATTGTCTAAGAAAACTTGAAAGTGTAAGGTTTTAACCTTTAATTTATTTCTCTTAAATACGTCTTTTGATATTGTTTTTGTGACATTTCTTTTTCTGGTTAGTGGACTTTCCAGACTTTGTACCACTGCTTCTGTTTATTCATTTATATGCTTTTGTGTCCCATAAATTATTTTAGAAAATGCTGATAAAACTCAGGAGATTGACATTTTTGTTGAGATAAAAAATGACAGTTGCTAAAGTAGGGACTCTCTAGAGTCTGGCTTACGTCGGTGTTGGTAGTTTAGATTGTCTTTGTCAACGTTTTTTCTTTTTTTTGTTTTGTTTTGTTTTCTTTCTCTTTTTTTCTTAGCACACTTCTAGCTCAAATTTGTGTATTTTTTGTGTGCCTGGGCTGGAGATGAGAGACTGAGTCATAACTGATTTAAAAGTTTGTGTGACCAGGTATCTTATTTGAACATGGTCATTTTTGGCCACGTTGCTGTTTCATACTAGGACTTGGGATGATGTAGCCAGAATGAAACTCAAGTTGCACCCTCTGGTTGGTGGAAGAGTGCTGACCGCGCCGTTTCTTGGCAGAAGACATCATGGTGCCCAGGAACTCAGCAAAGCCATTATTAGAGTTCTGAGGCCCTTCTGAATGTAAAACAGGAGCCCAGGAGATGCTGTCCCAGGAGGGCTATTAACTCCCTATAGAGCCAGGAGACAGGAGGGGGGTTTCTAGGGTCCAACACCAGCTTACCTTGGGAGTATGGATCTACCCATGAAGGATGAGAGATGTTTTGAATAACTAGCCAGGACACACCACAGGATCCTCCTGGATCCTTAGCAGCTGATTGGTATTACATAATTAATTGGAGATGCATTAGGTCACTTGAATGTATAAGCACCTGTGGTAGGTGCTACAGACATTTCAGTCTCTGATTTACTAAAAAAAATCTTTGGGAATTCGATGCCCCCATGGAATTTATGGTTACGAGTTATGTGCATTGACTTAAGTATCTTGAAAAAGAAACTTGAGGGAAATCATCAGGGGTGTGGACTCAGTATTTCAAATCAGAACACAAGATTGGATCTTTTGGAAAAATGGGTTCAAGCTTTCCTGTTACCCATGGAAGTTTAAAGTTTAGCACAAGCAAGCAGTTAGGCAGAGAACAAAAATGTTAACCATTGTGTTCTCTGTCTTCCTGAAGTGGTTGGAAATTGTAATTTGATAGATTTATCAGTATAAAATTAGGGAAACCAAGTGTGGGGAATGAATCCATTTAGAGTTTTGGGAACTGTAAGGTGACTTCTGTAACTTTCGTTCTGTGTGTGACCTGTGAACCATTAGGATGTGATCTGCCCTTGTGGGCAGGTCCAGCAGTTTAGGAGTTAGGCTGTAGCGTAAGTTTCTAGCTGCATAAGATGAGTCTCCTGGGATAGGTGCGCTTTGGCTGGTTTTGGCCGCAAATGGTGAGATCAGAGCAGCTCTTCCTGCTGCTGGCCCCTGAAATCAGTTGTTGGGATGCCATTGCAGATACTAAGTAGTAAGATTTTAAACACCACCAGGTCTGAAATGCAGGTCATGAGTGTGAAATTCTCCAATTTACATAACAAGTAGAAGTATAGACAGTTTTTAACATTTGGTATTAAAGGAGAGGAAATTGTAGCAGCTTTTCACGTTTCCTAATCCCCATTAGAGGGCTTGAGACCTTGTATCTGAACAGCCCATTTCACACTCAGTGCTTTTTGATGCCTTAGAAATAGGAGAATTGTTTTGTTTGACAAAAGTTGGGAAGGAAAAAGTCCGTTCTGCAGCTGTTAGATCTGCCTCTCAGGAAAAAGTACTAACTTGTTCTTTTTGTTCCTGGCTTTCATCAATTTGTGAAATTTCTCTATTTTTTTAAATATAATTTTATTTCTTTCAACAAATTTAAAATAAAAAACAACTTTGGAACAATGACTTGTCTTTCATTGTGGCTTTCTTTATATTAGATACCAAAAAGCAGTCCAGATGTTAAACAGCTGGGAAGCCCAGGCAGGCGCCTTGCCGTCTTTCCTGTTCCCACACTGGACGGCCGGGGGTAGGGGTGGGGAAAGTGGGGAGACAGGCAGAGGTATTTGCGTCCAAGTCTAGATCTCCCCGATTGCCCTTAGTGGATAGGAAAATAGTTTTCTCTGAACATGGGATACATCTTTAGTTACATTTTTAGTCACTTGGTCTAAACTAAAAATTATACCAGAATAGGGAAAGAAATAAGTGAATAAATGGGTTCCTGTTTAATCACCTAGTGTCTCAGAGCATGGTTCCCATTTAGGGAAGAAATTCTTGTTTCGAGGTAGATAAAGAGTATAAAGTAAGGCCGTTCCCCTATCTGGAGTTTTGTAGTACATGTGGACACCGTCTTCATTTACATCATGCCATAGAGTATAGAGATGAATTTGCTGATTTCATAGACATCGTTGAGTCCAGGGAGCTGATGTGAATTGAGTATTTCGAGGGAATGCCATTTAAATGCTTTTCTTCTATGATTCCTCAATTATTTTCATGTCTTGGGAAATAAATTTCTGCTTGCTGCATCTTAATAAAAAGTGGAGGTCAGGAATTATTTCTGTGGGAAGTGTGGCCCGTTTCACTTCTTTGAATTAGTTGTAATTTAGAATCCAATAACGTGTCTTAGGGAATTTTACCGAGCGATGACATCTTTGTGAGGGGGCCAGGTCTTTTTCTGACGAAAGCACTGTTACATCAGCTCATCCACTGCCTGTGCCTAGCCAGAGAGTTCATATGCGTTTTACAGTTTTACATACACTCAGAGAACACCATTGCCTAGGTGTTATTTTACTGTAATATCCCACTCCTCACAGAGCTCTAGGCCTGAAAGCTGTAGAGGCATCTAGAGAAATAGGGGTTATAGAATTGAACTTGGAAAAGGAATAAAGTTGTCAGTGAAACAGTCACGCGTTACTTTTTGCAGCCCAAACGCCACCTCTCATCCCTCCGTTTAAAGCAGCTGTTAGAACCAAATGCGCTTCCGCATCTCCACCTTTCACTTCCACCTTCTAAATGGAGCTCTTGTACCTGTCTGCTTCACCCACCCTGACTTCCCATGCAGAGCCATCCTCTTCTCTTGCCTGGACTTGGTGACTGGCTCCTCTTCAGTGTTACTGGATGGCAGTGTCACTGCCTGCTGTCCAGAACCATCTTGTTGCTCCCCGTTGCACACGGGGTGAGACCCAGTCTCCTTGTGGCGTGGTGTTTCCCCTCATCAACTTAATTTCCTTCCATCCTCCTGTGTCACGTTGCTTCGGCTCTAGGGCTTTTCCAAGCTCTTTTCTGCCCTTCCTGGGACAGCTCCTTCTGTCTGGAATGAAGCATCTCCCCTAACTTTTCACTAACAAGCTACCTCCTCTGTCTCAGCCCCCTGGCTGTCTACGCTAAGCCTATCGTGTTGCTTGCTTCACAGCACTTTGCAGTGTTTGAAACAATATATTTGTTCATACTCGTTTGAGGTGAAGGCCTCTCAGGAGACTAGAGGCTTAGAAAGGAGGAGTCATGTTTGTATCCTGCACTGGCAGAGTAGATGCTCAATTATTTATTGAATGAATACCCAGACACAGTTTCAGAAGGGTTGTAGCACTATACAGCTTTCTGGAGGGGTCTCTAATGGATTTCTGAAGCCACACAAGTTTCTGCAGAGGTTAGAAGAGACAGTTAGGTACAGACACGGGGGTAGAGGAGATAGCTACTGCTGGCCCTCTAGACCTATGCTTCCAAAGAATGCCCTTTGAGACCGGTGGAGACTCACGCCTGTAATCGTAGCACTTTGGGAGGCCAAGGCAGGATTGCTTGAGGCCGGGAGTTCAAGACCAACTTGGCTAACATAGCAAAACCTTGTCTCTGTTTATTTAACTTTTTTTTTTTTTTTTAAAGAGCACTCTTTGACCTAGTGACTCAGGAAGAACACGTGACCTCTCTGTTCCTAGTGACCTTCTGAAGTGTTTAGATAGAATTAGAGATTTCTCCTTGCTCCTTTTTGTTTGCTTTTTTTTTTTGAAGCGGAGTCCTGCTCTGTCGCCCAGGCTGGAGTGCAGTGGTGCGATCGTGGCTCACTGCAAGCTCCATCTCCCGCGTTCACACCATTCTCCTGCCTCAGCCTCCCGAGTAGCTGGGACTACAGGCGCCCGCCACCACGCCTGGCTAATTTTTTGTATTTTTTAGTAGAAACGGGGTTTCACCATGTTAGCCAGGATGGTCTCGATCTCCTGACCTCATGATCCGCCTACCTCGGCCTCCCAAAGTGCTGGGGTTACAGGCGTGAGCCACCGCGCTGGCCTTTGGTGACTTCTGAAAATGTCTGTCTCTTCAGCTACAGTTTGCCACCCCCTCATCCTCATGGTTTCATCTGTGGCATTTTTCTCACTTGTCATCCTTCACCTTGGCTTGGTAACGCCTGGATGGGAGCTCTGTGAGAAGGCAAACCTGGAATGGTGTACAGAATTCTAGAAACCAGCTCCCCGGGTGGGCTGTTCTGTGGGACCCGGAGAACTGGAGAAGGTGAGGCAAGGACAGATACTTCA